CAGAGTTGCTATCTGCGCCAGCTATCTTGGTATCGCGGCTTATAAGTTATTGGGTGGAATTTATCGAGTAGACAAGGTAGCTGACATTAGGACATATCTATAATTTACCTGACATTGTAAAAGAACACTTGGTACTGTTACACAATACACGTAAAGAACTTCTTTCCTTGTTGAAGTTCCTTAAAAGTGGTTCCTTATCATATGATTCCATTAATCAATGACCGGGACGGTTGGTGATAATCAAGGAGAATCAAGAGCATCTTATATATATATCGACATTCACAGTCAACGTTTATGAAAATAAATCTAATGATTTTTATATAAAACAATTTGTATGAAAATGACCCTTGAAAATACCAACATTGTTTCAAAATTTCTACTGTAATTGTTGTCATTGATTTACTTGAGGTGAATAAACAGCCGACCCTTACAATCAAACGGCAACAATAAGCTATCAAGTTGAACCTGTTCAACGCTCACCTCGTGCTGTCAGCCAATGATAAGCAGTCCACAACCACCGAACGTGCGAGAGGAGAGGCCCTTCATTAGCGACATATTGTATATTCGTGCTACCTTCATATGAGTATTTACTGCCAGCGTATTACTTAGCGGCGAAATTACACTCTTTGGGCGAATGAGCCCCCACCTTACCAGGTTGTTGGCGTGTAACGCTGTCCGCTAGAGCATCTGTGGCAACCGTAACTGGCAGTGATCGTGTGCACAATGCTGGCACTGACGTGGGGCGGATGCCACGGGCAGGAAGTGGGCTGAGCATTGGCATTTTGTTAATGATCGAGAGTTGCGCGGCAACACACCAAAGCAATTTTACTTGAATTGTTGCACACACCGCTCATAAGCTTTGAACTGACATGAGGCAGATGCTGTCGTTATTACATAGAGTATGACACCATAGCAATTGCTTTGTTGTTGTCATCTTGATTACAATATGAGCAAAATGCTCGTATTGAACATAGTACACAATGTAAAATCCATATTTACCAAAAATTAACAGTATATTTTTAAAGTTTTATCTTGCCCTATTTACTATTAAATGTTGTTACATTTTCTAAAAGCACCGTCATTAAGTCACTGCAATAGTATGTCGTTTTGCCAATAATGAATGTGTATATTTTATTGTTGTCTCACTGGGTTGGGTTGCCATTGCTTTAGAATAATATTTGCCTTTAACAAGCACGGAGCGCGCCGTCAACTGATTTGGTAAAAGTAAAATCGATTATATGGGTGTGAAAGATAAGGTTCTGTGAAATACCAAATATCGAATAGGTATGTTATCAATTTACGTAAAACACAAAAACTTTAATCTCGACTGCACCGAAGCTATATCCCATTGATGCACTTAGCATAAAGTATAGAAATCAATCTTCAGCTTGATGTTATAGTGGGTCGATTTGACAAATTGTTTTCGATATTAGTTGATGTCTTGTTAAATAGTATACAACTTTAGTGAAAATATTCCTATATGTAACAACAAATTTTCAATAATAAGAACTTTATTCAATAGTGGTTCCAATAGGCTCTTGAAAGAAAAGGCTATTATGCGAAATTTCCGATGCATATCTAACAACAGAGGAACTAGGAGGCACATATATAGACAGATTTGTGCAATTTGATCGATTCAGCTCAGACAATACAATCTCATATATACAACCATTATTTGTCTCGTTTAATGCGCTTATTTGTTAAAGCAGATCATCTATTAGGTATATATATATATACATACCTATATCGGAAATTTTCGTATATGTACTTTTCCCAAGATATATATATATATATATATATGCATATGTACATGGTCCTAGGTACTATAATGACATTGCAGAGTACCATTTGTGCATATTCGTCTACTAAGCAGAGTTACCACCATATTTGAATATCTGAGGATTCCAAATACTATACCAAAATTATAAGACGTTATTGAATCAGCGTGCTCAGAAACCTGCAATAAAAATTTTATTCAAACCTGGTTGCCGCTTTTTGTATTGAACTATTGTGTAAATATCCGCTCATAACTCGGCAGTCAGCGCTAAGACAAAAGGATACTTTGTGTGCCTAAAAGCACACTACTTAAAGTCTTAACTCTTTATTCTGTAGTCGATTTGAAGCCAAAGTTGCCTTTGATAATGGAATCTGTAATATACGGGTGTGTTTTACTTTTGCCGAATGAAGGCAACTCTATTTCAAACAACCTAAACTTCATTCTGCCTGAATGCACCAGGAATATATTTAAACCCTTTATGTGTCGCATCCATTTCGTGATATTTTCAGTTTTACTTTGTCTTAACAGGTGGGTCATCGTATTCAAAAATATTGATGTGGGTAGCATAATTCAAGAATACTTTTAACACCCATATACATATGGCGGCGTACTTTTGCTTTGCTGGAAAACTAACTACTTAGCAGCTCTAGAACTAACACATTTAGTAAGTTGGAATATTTTTATAAAATGTGTTTTCGTTAAATCTTTTCTACAGGGTAGGTTTGATAGGTCAACAAGAAGTTTTATTGCTTTTAGCGGGTTTGAAATGCACCACCACCTCATAATATATTAAATAAAGAAAATTACCGAAGCATTAAATACACCGTTAATCACCGCTATAAAATCGACGCTCATTGTGGGAAGTCAGTGAATGATGACTGTTTTTGCAATTTACATAAGTAACCGAATACATACGAGTACATATATGTGTATATAAATATAATACTAAAATTCTTAAATTATATTCGGCCATAGTACTAGCCCAACAGCTAGTTACAATTGACCGACGCCAAACTGTTCTAACAATCAGTTAAATGAAAGCAATTAATTAAACCCACGTTGTTAAGTAATTTTGCCACCCTTAAATCGCACACAAATCCATAAAATCTGTTGAAATTACGTTAATTTCTGCAGACTGCCCATTGAATTGCGCAGGCTAGCGATTACAATCAGCTCTGGGAAGTGTGTGTAATAACTATGTATCATTGATAAATTTAATGTACTATGGTTTTATGACCTAAAACGAATTTACAACAAACATGCATACACTTCCGCCACTAAACACACACATATGCAAGGCATATGCAAATTTATGTGTGTGTGCGTGTTTGTGTGGTCTTGGTCATGCCTTTGTGTCACTTATTAATCGTTGTTTTAGTAACCAAGCATTTTAGATCAATCAATTAGTTGCTAATTGTCGTGTAAAATTTAATGCCATAATATTGTTTTAAAATTCTGAAGCAATATTCTAGTAAATTCTATGAGTTTATTCTCCTTATTGATTGCTTTCACTGTATTAAATTTGTACATTACGTGCTAATACATAGAACATAGAAAACAATGCCTCAATAATTTTTAAGGACGCTAACGCATTGACAGAGCTTGGTTAAATATAAGACTTAGCCCATTCTAGATATGGCTGTCATAACTGGTATTGTACCATACTTGTAAAGCTTAAAGTTTTACATGGAGAATTTGGAGTCAGGAAAAAGACGGCTATAAAAAAAATACCGTTTAATTTTTTTTTATGACAGTGAACACCTCATAATATGTATTCGGTAGAATTTTAGTTGACATACTAGTAAACTTGTTAAGAGACTAGGGATCAATCCACGAACACAATTTGACATGGCGAGTTCTGCTGCTAGTGAAGTTCAGATGAGGAGTTTTCATTTTAATGACAGGGAAAAAACAAAATCCTGGATCTCACGGTCATAAAAGCCAGCCTGCCTTAGGACTATTTTAATAATGGACTAATATGGAGAACATTTTGGTTGGAGCTTGTTTGGTTCAATACCAATCTGGACACGAAGGATCTTAGAATCTTAGGTTGAAAAATTTTAGCAACCACATTGAACCCACCGTTATTTGAAAAATATTGTTGTTGTTGTAATGTTCCTGCAGTGATAGCTCACAGCTGCTCTTATCAGCTTATGTCCGACCGACTATCTTACGTATAGGACAAAAATTTTAATATTTTTCGATTTCTATGGCGTATGAACCAAAGTGAAATCGAAATTTATATGTTAATTTCTGTGTACACGAAAAGTTTTACATGAAAATGCATTAGAATATTGACCCAAATAAGGAAAAAAATTGTAACCCGTTTTCTCTAAGAGCACTACTGATCTTGCGAGACTGCAAGACCAATTGAACTACTTGATCTTAGATGGTTCAGTTAGGCACAGTTGTAGGAGTTCTAACTGTCCAATAAGTATACATACGTTGAAACTGTCCTATAAGCATACATACATGTGGTGATGTAAAAAATCTTGACTGTGTATCTTTTCATGACTGAAACATATCAGATGGATCAGCCAGATCTTATTGGCTAGAATTGATAGTGGTCGCTTAAGCAAATTTGTTATGGGCTCAAAGTGCTTCGTGGATTCTTGAATGTCTTTTTGGCCTAGATTATTCAAGACAGCGCTACAATTTGCGAATAAATTGTTCAGGTAGAATTACTATAAAATATATGAAAGCTACCATGCAAACTTAGCGACCAAAATCAAGATTAATATCTTGTTATATAACTTTTTATATCATAAGAAATGCACCTGTGAAGGGTATTATAGCTATAGTACAACCAAAGTCAAAGTTTTTTTCTTCTATTTTCAATTTATTTTAAACATTTAGTTTTATCTTGTTTTGCTAAAAACAAATGTATTCTAAGAATAAATTTTATTCCACTTTGCAAAAGCATGCAATTTTATACACGATTTCAATTTTCCACCTCTTTCAATTATCCGAGCATTTGCATTTTACATTTCTTTCATTGCAGATTTCAAATGCAGCCTTTCGAAGTCACTTAAAGTCGGAACTGTGTTGCAACAACTGCCACAAATCAACATGCGAACGCAACCGCAGCCAAGTCCACACGCAATGCAACACACAGACAAGCACACCTGCACACCTGCCTAGTATTTGTCAACAAGCGTTGAACTTTGCACCAAATCCACAAACAGGAGAATTTTCACTGAATTAACGCCATGTGGCACGAATGCGTTGCAAGAAATGGCAGGCGAAGAAAGAAAGCATGCAAGGTACCACTTTCATTTGCAGGCAAATGTTGAGCAATATCCAACCGAAGTACACGCACCATATAAGGCTGCCTGGGAGATTACAGTCGAAGGCATGATGAATCACATGCATGTCTCTGTGTGTGTGTGTGTGTATTGTTGCATATGTGAAGTTGACAAGTGTGGCAACCTCACGAAATATGAGTCCGGAAAAGGAAATCGCTGGAAATCGGAACAAGTGCGATATGCAAATCAACCGATATGCAAGTGGCATCGCAAGGGAGAGTAAGACGTGTGGAGATACCGAACGGAAGAAGGCGTGCAAATCGTGATTAGAATGATTTGAAAGTGCGGTAAGTGAAGGTGCATGCATGCCATGAGCCAAAAGTTAGACGTTGCAAGATTATAACAACAACAGTGAACGGTAATAATGCCTGCAAGAGCATGCGTGTGCCAGATTTTCGCATTTTAGTTCCTTATTTTTCGCTTTTCCACTCTCGTTGCTTGCGTTTAATGACATTTGCGCTTAAAACCTGGTTTTCATGCACTGCCTCCTCCACCGTGCCTCGGGCTCCACCTGCATCCGGGTAGTACTGTTATTGTTGAGCACGCACTATTTTCCTCTGGCACTTGATGGCTACCGCATGCGAGGCATCAATTGGGCAAACAAACAGGTAGATTTCTTGTGGCATAAATTCTTGTTAGCTTTGCTGTCTCCACCTGGCAAGTGAGTGGCTGTCGAAATCGAAAAATAAGTGTTAAATTGAAAATGCAGAGGTACAGGTGTAATGTGAATTTTTGAGAGAAATGCGTATAAAGATTGCTGGGTATATTAGCTTGCTCGACGCATTCAGGTAGAATTTTGTTTATGTTACAAATTTCTAACTTCTGGTTTTCGATTCTGATTATTGCAAGTGGAGTGGCGAAATCATGATGGAACTCATCTTCATAACCTAATTCCATTGCCTTATAGGTTGATTCAATGATATTTTATTTCTATTTCGTTTGTTTCAAAGATAGGAAAGTTTTCACTGCAGTGGATCAATAACCGTTCTCGATAGTATTGCGTAAATTTTTTAGTGAGACATCTTAGGCTAGTTAGTAAAATCGATACTGTAGTAACGAGTTTCACTTTTAAGATCAAAAGGTTGCCATCTATTTAAAATTTTATAATTTAAATTTAGTACTGAAATGCTACAGACTCAACAAGTTCAGGGCTTAATGTCTAAAATTTTTCGGTGCTTGCCACCTGCTCGAAATAATGTTCAATAAAAACAATAAATAAATAACTTACTACCATATAGGTTAAAAAAAAGATTTAGAAGCTTATTGTGGAAGTTATTTTTTAAAATTTAATATTCACATAAAATTTTATTTTATAATCATATTATAATAATTATAAATAATAACTATTACTTCATAAGTATCTCAGAGATTTAAATTTAAGATTGTACATGTCTAGAATTATATTAGCAAATTTTATTAAATTATATCAAATATATAGCATCAAATTAATATACAGAAGACACTTATGGTGCAAATATTTTTGAGAAGGTTTGCACCTATTTAAAATGGTAGTAAGTAAAAATAATTTAATAAACGGTTAGTGCGATATGCGCATCACCACAGCGGTTAGAGGACTTTGTTAAATATTATTTTTGTGATGTTGCCACATGTCTAAATTTTGTTTGACTAAAAATCGTAGGTAATAAAAATAACAAATAAAAATTATTTCCATATGAGTATTAGATTAAATAACAGAAGCAGACTATGGGTATATATAATTTTTGGGAGGCTTGCCACCGTTTAAAATTATATTCATTAAATAATAAAGTAGAGTTTAATACAAATGTTTAACAAACAATTGAAAAGACTTATCGTTAGAATATTTTGGAATAGGTTGCCCAAATCAAAAATTCAAATATTGAAAATAATATATGTATATTTGTATAATTGAAGAAATAAACAAAAATTATTTGAGAGAATTAATGTTGAACATATATAATATATAGCAGGCTTGTCCCTATTCAAATTTTTATTTAAACAATGGCTAAAATTTTGTGGTGGTAGCAGCTGAAGTATTTAAAGTTGTAATGTGGATATATTTCTGATAAAGATTCGTGATTGAGGGATTTCAAATACTCTCGATGCAACATCCTACGTGAGTTTCGAAAATGATAAGCAAAACCAATGTGCTTATTTGAAATTAAATCCGTTTTAAATGATATAATTGGTGATTATCCATCTCTTCTGAAAGCTATTACAATTATTTGGCATCAATGCATTATATTTAATAGCATTCTAAAATTCACCAAAAATCAAATGATTTTCATTCCAATAATTTAGAATTGAAAACTTACTTATCAATCTTTAAAAATTTGCTTTAAATTTATTTTCTAATACCAAAAGTTTATAATTGCATTTACATGCGCGTAATTAATTTCCTACTCATAATCTGGCCATAAACTCCGAAAAATTTTATGGTGCACATTTTTATAAACGTAAAAAAATCATAAAAAAGTTTTATCAAAATTTATGCTTTCGAAAAATTCATTAATTATGCCTCATCAACACTCAAGCGCTCATCATTAGTGAACATTTATATAGACGTACATTAAAAGTGATGACATTTTAATACGCGATTATCTTTATGCTCGTGTATATGTCACGTACATGTCTATTGTACAAATACATATTCATCTAAATATATAGTATGTGCGTATGGGATATGTGGTGATTAGTAAGCACACTCAATTTGCCATCAAGTATTTGCTTAGACAACAAATGTTGACACTTTCAAAGTCAATCAGCTTGGCTAAAAGACAAAGTTCAATTGCTTTGTACATTAGTAGTTACACATATATACGTAAGTGTATATAAAGAAGTGTATGTGTGTGTGCTTGCGGTAGGAAGCCGTAAAAAATGACAGGAACCTCCGCCTTGAGTTCAAACAATCAAATACTCAATTACCCCTCAGCCAAGAAGTTGACGTCGCATATATTTAAGTCAATCAGTCAGTAAGTCGCGTTGTCACGCTCAGCAAAACTGAAGTGCGATAGCACACACATGCACCAATACATTTGCAACTACTTATTCAAGCTACATGTGTTCATCAGTCGCTAAACGTCGCATAATTTATCAACACTAAGCACCCATGGTGAGCTTGATTTTTCGCTACTCTGAGATGAGGGTTCTAAAATACTTAGTATGTGTGTGTGCGATGTGTAGAGGTGATTATGTGAGTGCGTGTGCGGTTTTCTGGTTTCCCCGGCGTCTTCGCGCCTTAACTACATTTTTATAACACTTAGGTGCATCTTTGGGTGAATATATGTAATCATATGTCTGAGCTAACATAATGATTTTCATAAAAAGTTATTAAAAAACAATGAGAAGTAAGGGAAGGCTAAATTCGGGTGTAACCGAAATTTGTATACTCTCGCAAATTACAAGCAACAAAGCCGGAGAAATACCGTCAGCTGTTGTTAAAACTTTATATTGAACTAGGAGAATTATTTACTTGCTTTCATGCATTTTTGCAAGAGTATGTACTGTTATTAGAAAGAGGTTCATTCTGAATTTCATTAAGATTTCTTACATATTGACCGATTAAATACCTTGACGGCACTATTTGCGCAAAGTTTCATTCAGATAAGTTCATTGATGTTTGACTTGTATATTTTAAAGTCAAAGGTTCCCATGAAATTTAAAAGTTTGTTGTATGAGAAATAGACGTGGTTGTCATACGCCCGTTTTCACAGTGTGTGGCAGAAATATTAAGGTAACCTCACATAAAAAATTTGGTTGGAATTGGTTAAGCAGTCCCTGAGATATAGGATCGTATCAAATTTGGACGGTGGGCGTGGCACCGCCTATATTAAGGTGAAAACCCACTCCTCGGAACCTACTCAACCGATTTCAACCAAATTCGGTAGGTGATATTATTTTGATATTTCTACATTACGAGGCGAAAATGGGTGAAATCACACAAAAACCATGCCTACTTTTCATATAACACAATTCTAAATTCCATCTGATTCGTTTACTTTCCAGTATACATATCAAGAACTAATCAATAGATCCCGATAAAACTTTGCACAAATGGTGCTTTTGAGATGTGCCATCTTATGACCAAAAATTGCTCAGATCGGAGCAAAACCTTTCAAGTTCCCAGATACCGAATATGTAGACCTCAGTTCTTATTGCGAACTTTTTATTATAAAAAATTGGTCAATGTGTGAGATATAGAAATTCGAAAATAATTCTTGTCAGATAATAGTTTGTTTGTACGTCAAAAATAGGTTGAATCAGATCAATAATTCTCGTAGCCCCCATATACCCAATAGAAAGATTTTTGAACTTCCGGTTGACTGTATACCGCATATATCGGTCAATATGTAAGTTATCTTAATGAAATTGAAAGAGCGTGTTCCAGTAGTTTCCCATCTTTGATTCTTGCATGTTACAAAAGTATGAAATGTTCGGTTACATCTGAATTTAGCCCTTCCTTACTTGTTTATTATTATTATTTTTGGTTTTTATATTATCTTTCTTTATTTAATATTTTTCTTAATTAAAGTACATGTCGTTGCTCAAAAAACTGTTCTGTAATATGAGGCATCGCTCTCTGGAATGCAGCTGTTTGGCAGGTTTTTGAGTGTTTGCGAACACTTACGAGTAATTTGAGAGTTTCTCTATTCTTCTCTTCTTTTTCATTAAAAACGTCTGCACTCGAGTGCTTCGGTTTATCAATCAATATCAGTATGGCGCAATTGTTTCTTCAGTTTCTGAACTTTTAATTGTATGATGAAACCAAAGCGCACATAAATGTGTAAATTAATACCTAACTTCTGGCACAAATTATCGAAAAAATTCAATATACATATAAACAGAATAATGTGTTAAGTTACATATGTATTATTTTTATATATATTATCTTAATATTTTGATCATATTCGATGAAGTGGCTTCAAAATAAAATGTTATATATAATATGTATATTCTATATGTATTATATATGCAAGTTTGTATATTATATTTTTGTGGATGGCATATATTTAATATACATGTATCTTCATAATTTCTGTTTTGCTTTTGTAAAGCCTTTTGAAACTTCTAGAGCCCTTCTTTTCCTCTAATAGTTCCTTAATTCCTAAAAATAGCACACATCAGTATACAAACTTGTTAGAAATCTCCGCCACAATGAAAATAACTACTACATGGAATAACCCAATTATGCTGTGTGCATTTTATGTAACTGGCTTCAAAAACGGGAAGATATTGCATTATACGCCATTCAATAAAAGTTTACCAACTAATCTGAGCCAAACTTCAGTCGTTTTGAGACACCGTCGGGTATATACATCCTCTATAGGTAGGAGGCGGTAGTTGAAATCTCAATACTGTGATAATATGTTTCAGATAAGTGTTGTGGCAGATAACTACTGAGATTTTCATTGTTGGCGACTTTCATAAAGTTCTTTCAAGTAGATTGCCCAGTGTCAATAAATACGGTCTAAATGCGTAAACATTTTGTCCATGACTTTATCATACATGCATAGAAGGTAATGAGATGGGAGGCGGGTTGAACTGGATTTGTAAGTCGGGTAACAAAATCTTTGTCAATTGCCTTGTCCTATATACATACATAATATTATACTCCAAATGAAGGATTTAACCAGTTTAAACGTTACTTTTTCTTAATTAATTAAATAATGGCACAATTAATTAATTGCCCAATTAGTATTTAATTCTCAATCAATTGATATAAAAGTCATCATGTTATATCGTATGTTTTTTCAATTCTTTGACAGCTGTCAAGTAACAATTGTTTGAGTTAGGTTCGATAGGTTGAAACCGAAAATCAAAACAATTTATTTTTCAAAGAAACTAGCCTAATAACATTTATATAATTTTTGCTATAATTTGTATGTTTTATATACATCTTTATACCCTGAACAACGTATCTGTCGTTCCGTATATACGCAAACTAATCCAGCAATTTTTGAGATATCGATCTGAAATTTCAAAATTTTTTTTTTATCTACGAAGCTGCTCAATTTTTGGAACCGCAAATATCGGAAAACTATGAGCTGTAGCTGTCCGAGAAATTGACCGATCAAAATCAAGTCTTTGTATAGTAAACTTTTTCATTTGACAAGATTTCTTCACCAAATTTGGCACGGATTATTACCATCGGCAGCGCAAAACTCTTCAAAAATATTGTTAGGATCGGACCACTATAGCTTATAGCTGTTACGCAAGCTTTTCTTTTTTGACAAAATATCTCCACGAAATTGGGCATATACAATTATCTAAGACAGCGCTTCAGTCTTTAAACAAATTGTTCAAATCGGACCAACATAGCATATATAGCTGCCATTTAAACTGATTAAAATCAAGATAAAGATCTTTTATACCTTGATATGCTAGAAGAAATACACAAGAGAAGGATATTATACCTGCCGTGCAGCCGAAGTTAATAATTTTTCTTGTTTATTAATGAATTATCCAACATCAGAATCTCTATTGATATCTCATACACGAATATTATTTCTCATACAATGATTTCACAAATGCTTTTTTTACTCTTTTTGTCCATTGTAATTCAAAAAATTTTCCTTAATTTGTAATAAAAATATTTTCTTTTCTTTTACTCAATCGATATTTCATAATTTTCCGCGAAAATGTTTTCCAATTTAACGAAAATATTTATTCACAATCATCTTTTGCAATTGTTACACAAAATCAAATTGTAATCGAAGTTCACTTTCAACACAGAGATACAAAAATATTTGCATTTTCGAGGTTTGCATGCCTCAATATACATACATACCGTTACATATACAAATGCAGTCATGTAAATATTTATGCGCGTTTGATAGCTCCCATTTCGATATTTTAACCAAAAGTCACCATCGACTAGTGTTTTTGTTGTGAGTGTTTGTGTGTTCACTTCAATTTCCTATTTCCCGTGGTGTTGTGCCAGTGTTCCGCTCTCATATTTCCGTTTGGTTTGATGTTTTTGCCAGCGCTTGCGGTGTCAGTGCTATAAAGGGAAATTGTTTTCCGCCAATGGTTTCAAGCAAAAACAGAAAGACGTCTCTCTTTGGTGTTGCTGATGTTTTTCTGCATTTGCCTTTTGGGAGTTTTTAAATTCATATTTCGTTTGTGTCTTTCAGTTTTGATCGTTTAACAGTTAAATAGGCAGTTTTTACTGTTATTGACAGTTTGATATTGATAATGGGAGAGGCAATAAGTGGAACGATCTCTCAGCGTTTGGCTTTAATTTTGATTGGTTGTTATTAAGGCACTTTAGCAAAATTCTGTTATTCTCTGGGATTGTTTACTAGCAGAATTAAAAAACTTTTACTTTTTGCCACTATACTTATATCTCAAAAAGGTTTTTGATTTTGGTTAACAAACCTTAACTTATTCACTATTATTTTCTAATTAGATGGCAACATCTATTACAACAAAAAAAAAAAAAAAAAAAAAACGTTAACTTTGGCTACAAAGAACCATTTCTAATAGCTGAAAAGGGTATAAAAAGATAATTCACTTGATTTTGATCGGTTAGTTGGCAGTTTTATGCTGTTGTGGTCCGTCGTCGGTAATTTTTATAAAAGAAAAATTTCATATCAATATTTCAAAAACTATAAAAAAGTTAAATAGGTGTCAACCTTCAACAAAAATATTTTCGTATACTTGCTATCTGTAGACTCTTCAGTGTGTGATTTTTCATTACTATAAATGTTTAATTACAAATTTCAATCAGGTGGCAACTTTTTCGCCTGTTCGCGAGCTGTACGAAGCTGTTCTGAAGTACGCTTAAACCGGTTCGTCTTCACTTAATATATATTATTTCTTTCACAATTGTTGAGTTCCTTCAGATTTTGTTGACTAGTGTTATTAATGCGACATAGCTTTACTTTCCTGCAAACGAATTTCTTTCATGAAATTTTAATCCCATGATCGTTAACAAGTGGAATACTTTTAACTTTGCTTGTATTTTTTATTCAAAATAACTGAAGGAGTGCGCAACGGTGTCTAGTTCATACGTAAATATCAATCGAAAAAGCATATACCTATTAATATGAATATAACGAAGATGACTTTAATAATCTACATCTCGCATTGTTTACATGAGATCGGATTACATTTTATTAATGTTTCGATTTGCCCAAGAGCTAATCATTGCACAAAACCTTTTGGAACATTCAAATAAGTCTGGATATAAAAAGAAGCTAGATGTTTAGATACCACACGAGTTAACAGGAAAAAATGGACCGAATTTCTTTCTTCTAATCGCCAACAAAATCAATACATTTCTGAAAAAATGGTCGAAGTCGAATCACGGTGAGCTGGCGCAAACAATGGCCAAGCCAGGATAGATGGTCAGGAAGGTTTTGTGGGAATGGAACCTTCTACTATGTGCTGCTCATCTACGGCCAAAGTCTTAATTGAGACCTGTACTGTAAACAATTGGACAGTCTGAAGTAAGCAATCGTCGAATAGTAGTCGGCTTTGACCCATAGTAATTTATATTCCATCAGGTCTACACATACCTCTATAGTGACTAGCCAGTAGATGCGAGAGCTTGGTTGGGAGGTCCTTATGCATCCACGTTATAGTTTGGATTTGGAATCACATGATTAGACTTATTAAATTCGACTTCGAGCTGTAGGTGTGCTATAGTAACCGACTGAAGTGAAGTATGAAAAAACTAACAGCTGCTCTTAGAGTGTGTGTAAGAAAAACTTCACGTACTTTAGATATAACAATATACTATAAGTTTTAAGTTTTTCTATACTATATATCTTCCTTAGTAGATCTATAGAGTTGAAATAGGATAATTGTAGCACAATTTCGCTAGAGTAGTTATTTTAAGCTTTAGTCAAAACTACAAAACCTGATGGGAGTGCAAGGTATAACAATTTAATTGCGTACATTGCACCTAAGATATGTGCGACATTCTTATGCAATCACAAAAACCAACATATCTTCTGCGTATAAAACAACCACAACTCAGCAAAATATTTCTCATTTAAAATCACATCGAACTTGCACAGAAATTTTAATTTTATGACTTCCTACGCATATTCGAAGCATCTGAAAGGGAGCAAGATGCAAAATCTGTGGCGGTTGTGGCATGTGGCAACGTAAGTGCAATTCAAAAGCATTAAATTAAATGACCAAAAAAAAAAACAAAAAGGAAAACGAATTGCAATACAAAATCGAGCAAACGAATTTCTTGGGGCGCAATGATTTCGAATTTGTAGCAAAGCGAAGCGACAAGTAAATATCACAGCAAAGTACAAGTATATAAATAAACAGTATATAATCTCGCTTTTATATAAGTGCATACATATACCACTGAGTGTATGCATGAGCGGCATTTTCGTCAACTTACCGATTTGGCGCCGGTCGTGATGCGCGCACTTTGCGACCGTGTGGCCGGTCGTCGACGCCGATAGCTGGGCGTGCCGCCGCTCTCGGGTGTGGCACTGCCCGATGCCGCACCATACGACGGCATATTATGTATGGCCGTTTCGATGCTGCCGCCGCTCGTTGCGCAAATGGAGGCGCTGCGCGTTTTCTTCTGCATGCGCATCGGTGAAAAGTCGTCGACCATTTTGAGACTGAATTTTCACTGCACTTTGGATTTGCACGCTTTTGTGATTTGCGATTTTCCGCACCGTGTGCGCCTGTTTCTCTGTTTCTTTGATGTTAGCCTGTGCGTTTCTTTGTTTGTTTGTCGGTGTGCGCAGCGCTGTGTTTATTTTTGGTTACAATGTAATGTGTTTTTTGTCGAATTTATTGTTGTTTGTTGTTGTTTTGCAGTATCGCTGTTTTACTTTGTGGTTTCGAAATTTTTATTGAGCTTTCACTTTTTTTTTTTGATTTTTGATTGCAATCACTTTGATTTCGCTTTAGTTGTTTGTATTGTGTTGTGGTTGTGATTATTTTGATTTTAGTAATTATTATTGTTGGTTAATTTGGAACAGTAATTAGTTTCAAAACCACCAATTATCCTAAAAATAGAAAAGAAAATTGTTGTGATTTAGTTGCCTTTATTTTCATAAAACGACACTAGTTGAGCTATAATTAAAATAATTTAACTAATTGTTCTTAATATAGTATACTTGTATAATGATCAATTAGTTAATTACTCAGTTAGTATTTAATTGACAATAATTTGATGTACAACTTGGAATATATGAGAGGAATATTAAAGGATTTATCGGGCGTAGCATAAGTAAAGAAAGTAGCTCAGCTTTTCGAAGTTAATTTCGAAAACGAATCGCAAATATCTCAACTTTAGAGCCTAACTTCGAAAAACGGAAAAATTACTTTTTTACTTACGAGTAAATTTCTCGAAAAAAGTTGGTTTAGCCGATTGTAATTTTATATGTATTTCTCCTTACTTTTTTACAAGGATATTGAGTCTCGTTTTTGTGTTGCTGTTTTCTTGTCCTGTATTATCTTTATTTCGGTCAAAATAAAATTAACATAATTAATTGATTTGTTGTATATTATTTTTAAGACAGCTCTTAAACAAAATTTTAAGCTAAATTGAGTACATTTGTTTGCGATTAGTCAATTAAGCTTTCAATTGTCCTCAGCTAATTGACTTATTTGAAAAGGTTTACTAATTGTCCGAGAGCTATATTTTCGTGGAATGACAAATCATGCGGCCTCAAACAACAAAATCTTAAAATAGTTTTGATGTTCTCAGCTAAAATGTTCTGCTTGGATGTTTTGAAGCAAATTTTATATATAAAACCACATCAGAGAGACATATTTTGTTTAGATTATGTATAGTAAAATCACATGTAGAATAAGTTTTAGAACATTTGGAACTGAAAGTTTGCTAAAACTGTTTCTTGAAAAGGTGTATACAAATACTTTTAAGTAATGTATTTTAAAAAAATGTGGAAAACGGTTGGCCTCAAGGGCCATCCCTGCAACTTCCCTCTAATTCATACGCAAAACGTTCAAATTTCGCTTTTTTCACTGCTTTTGAGGCTCTTCGAATTTTTCGTTTTCGATATCTAGCAAGTAAATCAACCGATTTCGACCCGGTTTGCGGGAAACGATGTGTTTCTTCAAGGTTTAGAACTGATTAGTTTTTGGTGTCGATCGGTCAAGTCGTTTGGAAAAAATATTTTTGAGATTTCTCGAAATCTACTGGTCCAATTGGGTCCAAACTTACACGAAATTCAAGTGCAATGAAACCCTTTGGAATGCCGTTTAGTTTATTCAAATCGGTTGAGCAGTTTAATAGTTATAAGAGGGTCCACTACATCCACACACACACAATACATCCACACCTACATACAGACATACGGACATCAATCCGTAGAAATGTTCGGGGAAGCTTCCTCGACACCTCAGAACGTCGAGATCTGTTGAGACTCGATTTTTGCAAAATGGGTGAAAACCAATATCTTCTCGCGATTTTTAGAAAATTTTTCCATTTTCTTAGCGGGAAGTTAAAAAAGTACTCAACCTCAAAAATCACTGGGAATACTTTCCGACTAAATCTTCTTGAAAACCATGAAGAACGAACTCTCTTAGATGCCAGTCTTGATTCGTCATGGTTTTTAAGAAGATGCCAGAAGTTGTCTTTTAGATGCCAGACTTCGTTCTACTTGGGTTTTTAAGAAGATTTACTTTATGCTGTGTCTTCAAACTATCGTACATAATGGGTATGATATAAACTCAAAACGGATGGTGAAAGTCGTGGTATTAAATGTATGAGGTAGGCATTTGTCAATTTTAGGACATATTCAGATAAGAATCTGGTGTATCTTCTTTTATTTGTTAGAGAGTTTTTACACCCTATATATTCATAATATCTAGTAAAATATATAGTTTTGGTACATAATTTCACCTAGATACTATTTCTTGAATAATAACCATTAATTTTTAGATAATTATAAAGAAAAATATTCAACTTTGTATTTAAAATATTATTTTTGATGTAAATATATAAATCCATACAAAAAAACCAAAAGAGCAGTTGAACAAACATAAATCTACTCAGCCGGTATATCAATCATCACAAGCCTTAAATCCTCCAAATGTCAATATACTTAGTCAACTATCTAGAAACATATTTTCATTTAAGTACAAATATGTGTGTGTAAGCACAAATCGCAAATTATGCGCAAGTATACATAATCAATATGGCTGGCCACTGTCTGCTGGTTGGATCAACTAAATTTTCCTTTGAAAATCAACTTCGATATATAAATAAATATACTGACATATATAGTTTGGTTTGTAGTTAGCATAGTTGTGGCCGTTAGTTCTGTTATAAATTTCACACTAAAAATAGTCATATCATTTCTTGTATATTCAATATTTAATGCAGTATATGTATAAGTATGTACATATATCCTTATGTATTTCGTATGAAATTTGTTAAGGTCTGCAACTCATATTTCATGCTGATGACATTAATATCGATTAGCCGAAAAATCGATAAGGCTTGTAAGTGTGGCATATTTTTGGCGCAGACAATATAGTGTGGCAGGTGTTTTGGTGCGTCGTTAAAGTAAGTTAGTTAGTAACTGGTTGGAGGGGTAATTTTTGCCACACTTTAATAATGCAAAGTTGGTGTAAGTTATTATATATATTACATATAGGTAATTTGAAAATTTGATAGATATATGGTAAAAGTACTTATCGAGTTTATATACATTTGCAAGTCGGAAAAATGCGTTTCTTGTGAATTGAATGTGTTTAAAGAGGCAGTTTATTTAATATAAAAATAAATAAAAATTTGTATATTTACAGAATTTAATGCATTTTTAGTAATCGGTGATTAATTTTGAAAAATTGCGGTTCCTCCAGATCCAGTATCCGATCTCGAGGAGGACCTTCGCAAAAAAACTTGTTTGACAGTGAGAAAGTAATAATCAAAAGACTAGTTGAAATCCTAATAAAAGTAGTTGTTTTCTGATTAAATTTACACTTAAGATTGGATTAAAAATCGATATTATTATGAAAAATTGTATTCCTTCGATCATTACTTGAAAAATATATATAGAAAATTAATTGAAAAACATATCGTGTAGAAATTTTTAGTCGGTTCAACCGTTTCGGAGATATTTTGCTCATCAACTCTGAAAACATAATTTCGAGAAAAATGGGTTTAAAATTTTGGAAGCCGATTACACTAAGCTAAAACAATCCTACAAATACTCGCATATCTTCAAAACTAATTACTGCGTCAAATTCGAGTTTTCGGAGAATATTTTCAAATATTTGTGCAATTAATAGTTATTCAAAAAAAAAAAAATAAAAAGAATTTTTGAAAATTCGCAACTGGCTATAACCACTTAAGAGTACAATATAGGATCGTAAGTATAAGTTTTGCTATTAATTAATCTTTGGGGCCAGCAAGCGGGGAATTTTTTAGAAATCAATTTCCAATTTTAATAGTATTATATGTATCTGAATTGTAACCAAAATTGCACTAGGTTAGGTAAAATTAGTTTGGTAGGCTCATGAGCAATTCTTAGACCAGTTTTGATTCTTAGATAAAGTGCCGTTACGTAGTTCATTAGCAATAGTCATCGTCTAGGATGCCAGCGCTTGCCGCAAATTTCAATAGATTCTGCGGTCTCAGTATCCACACTTCTTGCTGTGCCTCATACCGTGGCGCCGCCAAATGTTTGTAGCCATGCCTTGCTAGTACGAGACAAGTGCACAAGCGATGTTCCATTGTTTCACCGTTGGCTTGCTCTTGACATTTCAAGAGTAATATATTTTTACTACAGATTTGGAATCAGCGTGGCCCAGTGTTATAGCTTCGGTGCAGTCAACGTTTTTTCTTGTTTTAATACAAAATTACGTGGCTTTTATAACAGTTTTTTTTTACTTTATTTACATAATTTTTATTTAATTTAAAAAACTAATCGTTTTGTATTTTTACATAATTTTTTTCTTCCTCGCAAATCAAATTCATTAAAACTGAAAGACAACATTTTTCCCGCTTTCTTCATCATTCTTAAACCCGTTCCCTGAAATCTGGAACAAGTTATAAAAAATATCATTAATTTAACTTAAGTACGTTTCTACAGATTAACATGCGATATTTACCTAGGGTCAACTGGGGTTACCTTTGTACATGTTAATTGTAGTTTTATTGATGCATGCGCTTGACAAAAAACATATGAGTATATATGTTTANACTGCCATACATACGTATATGTACACATATATATGCACCTTTACATATTTCTATGCACTCGTGTGGCGTAGTGGAGCAGAAGCACATTTTAGTGCAGGCCATTGAGGCGTTAAATCCAACTCAGCCTTTAAGCAAGCCACCAACTAGCCTCTGTATAAGTGCGTGTGTTTGGTTGGCTTTATTCGGAAGGTGCATGTATGAGCTTTGGAACCGAAACGTGAAAAGGTATACATGTCTTTCAGCGGCACTGCAATCCATTTACACTGTTAGCCTAGCAAGTTTCTGGCACAGTCTCCTGGCACTAGTTGTTAGCAGTTTTCTACATTTATGTTTGTTGTTCAACTGAGAAATGCCTCCACTCCAGTGGCTTGCTGTCATTGCTTAGAACTGGGCTGGAGTGTTTGTTTGCCTTGCGGTTTCATGTGCTTATTTGGCAAGTGCAAATAAGAGGACTCACATGCTTGCCGCTACTACAGGATTGTATTTGTAACCGCTCACATAAGTATGGTGGAGTGGAGTTAAGCTCATGGCAAATTATTTAAGTGGTCAAAGTTGCTATTCTGCGAATTGTAAAAGCATATGCTGTTACATAACTACAAGTAGCGTCGCATACGACTTTTCTAGGGAGTTGCTCGAAAATTTAGTATATGTGCCAAACCATATTTCGTTATTTCCAGGTTATGATAAAATTTCCAATACAAGTTTTGCTGATAATGAACTTCAATGCACTCATATATCCAGGCATGTTTATATACTTTATTTGTATGTATATAGTAAAAAGGGCTTTTTTGTCACTACCAAACCCATATTTTGTCGAAAATATTATAAATA